ACCCGATATCCATAAAAAAGTAACGTTTGGGTAGGAATATAAGGAAACCATATTGTATAGGACCACTATTCATTGATCAAAATTTAACAGAGGAACTGTATTTGAATATGCTGTAAAGTACTAGTGACCCTCTCATCACTGAAATGGTCGAAATGAATCATAATGAATTCGATATGGATATTGTATTCCAACAATATGGAGCACCACCAGATCACTCCAGACAAATAAGAAACTATTTGGATATTACTTTTCCCGGTCGTCGAGGTTCTACAGAACGGCAAGCCCGCTCGCCAGATTTGACACCTGTGGACTTTTTTTATAGAGCTATTCGGAGCAAAAGGTGTACGAAACTGCATCTGCTTCAATATTGGATAAACGGCAAAGAATAATGAATATTTGTAGAGATATTGACGTTACTGTGTTCGAAAATGTTCGACGTGAAATATCGGATAGGTTGTTCATATGTCAAGAAGTTGAAGGTAATCATTTCGAGCATCTTCTGAACTGACTTCAAGCTCATATTATGTAGTGAAATGTTAAAGTCTTCAGGCAATTATTAAAAGTTCCGCTATTTTGTAGCAGTTGAAGATATTGATATTATATTCTAGGGTTGTGACGCATTTGTTGGGCGCTTTAAAGAGATGTATCACAAGAACCCCTTTCCATTTGATTTTTTTTCCAGATGGCGCCCAATCGCCATCTTGAAATTTCACTTCAAAATTAAGTATTCATGCGTTAATTCCATTATCCTTAATGTCAATTTTTTGAGTTGACCCGTTCAAAAAATAAAAGGGGGGCATTAAAGAAATGCACTGTATATTTAGTTTTTTCAAATTTAGATTCAAACCTCTAATGTAGTGTATCTTGATTCCTAAGATACGTCAATTAACTTTTGGCGTGACATCTTTTTCGACATTCCTTCAATTCACGTTTGATATCCAACATATAGACATAATTATTTTTACATGATTCTACTGAATGATTTCCTCTGCAAATTTATCACATTTCGATGACAAACCGTTAAAAATCTCATTGTTAGCTGGTGCCAATTCATGGAGAGAACTACAAAAACCTTTCTGAGAAGGGGCGCTTTTATGAAACGCAATAACTTTGAAAAATGTGAAAATTATCATTATTCACTAAAATCAATCAATAAATTCCAATGCATTTGATCTATTTTGTTGGAGGTTTCGGATTATTTGCGTTCGCACACTAGTCGTTAATTGTTAATTGGGACCGTTAATATTTCAGACAGACTGCCGTTATAGATATCGTATGAAACACGGCAACAGCCATAATTGAATTCAAAACTGACACTCGTTATGTCAGCTTCGTTATCATTCAATTTTTTGATCGGATTCATTAATAAAATTCGAAATGGTTGATATTCTCACGAATCTAGTTGTTTGAAGTTATTATATTATAAAACTTGAAAATTCCAATATGGTACTTTTTATCAAATCATACTACATACAGTCTTTCTTTACGAATTCCCAGAGAATCTTGGATCTTACAACGAAGAACAAGGGACAATTTTTAACCTTGATCTGAAATGTATGGAAGACAGATAACAATGCTGATCATTGTTGCATCAGTAATGAAAATCAAACAATCGAAAAATAGTCTGTGAAAATAAGATTGTTCATTCAAAATTTTCATATTATGTACGGTTTTTTTTGTTTTGAAAACTGTAAGTAGAATATTAAAATGTTCACTATCAGTTTAAGTGCCAGTTTGAAAAAACACTATTGCACTTCGAGCAATGTGTTACAGTGCAGCCAGACATATCATAGATGATTTCCTCTCTTCTGTCTATAAAACCTTTGAATATTCAATGTATTCCACGTTCGTCGACACTGTGGATTTTGTCAAGTTTTCAATTTTTTAGGTCCTCGTTGTGTCAAATTTATTCTTGTTTTCATGTTTTTAGCTGTTTTAATGCTTTTATATGCTTGTATTCTCACCTGACAGAACTATAAAACAAAAAAACTGTCTATAATCAGTTTGAATCGACAAATTCGAATTATGATTCCATATAATCCGCTTTTGAATTAATATCTATGAATATCTCAAACGTTGGAATTCATTCTGATGATTCTCAAAAAAATTTCACTTAAATAACCACTGTGTGTTCTCAGGCGGAGCCAGACACAGAAAGACTCTCTCAAAACAGTTTCCTACACACATAGAATCGGTATTGGGTTCAAAGTTCAGGCAATACTACCACCTGTTCCATTAGTCCGTCCCAATATATACACGGCGAGCCCACCGATTCTGATTTCCAAAAGTAAATATAGTTGTCTGTACCCAATTTCTTACTCCACTTCAATCACTATGAAAAACAAGTCTGACTGAACAAAAAAGAAAAGTACTTGAATTACGTCAATGTGTATACCTATTTGTGAAATTGATAGGAATGATCAAAATAAACCATATGGACTTTGAATAGGTGTTATGATTCATTTGAAGTACTGCCGCAGACTGCTCAGTAGTATCCCAGATCTGTGAAAATAAACAATAGAAATTTCAAATAATTGGTATATTACAATAAACATTTCAGAATTGGCAAAAAACGTTTCTGTGTATTCAGATTGAATTCCATACACTATGGAATAAACTTGGAAAATTGAAATGTTACAATGTTCTCTGAAATTCGCGAAGGAAAATAAAAATGAAAAAAGGTTGACTAAGGGACAGAATGGGACAGTTCGGGAATGTGATGATAGACGTCCCTATCGTTTCACTGGCAATTTGTTTCCTTTTATTAGATACTCGTCAATACATGTAGTAGAAACCAGGAAATCGAAAATATTTTTTGTGAGAATGCCTGTAAGGGTATATTTTTATATTTCGGGCCATTCGAAAAAACTGTACCAATTTTGGTATGGATACATTTTTGCAATACAGGAATAAGATGAGTGCAGTTATGTAACCCTATTGAATCTTTCATTATCACAAATGAAGTGGTGAAGTATTCATTAGATATTCATTTGAATGTTATTGACGATATTTGTTTAATAAAGGTGATTCAAACATTGAAATGAAATTAGAAGAAATACCTTCCTTTATTATCATTGTATTCTGATTTATTTGATGTGAACTTCAGGCTTGTATACGTTCAAATTATATAACAGGAACTTTTCTTTCTGGCTGAATAAAAAATCAAAATAAATCTGATAGGGTCATCTCGCTCGTGGATGGACTTGAATTTGTAGGTTGTTGTGTTAATTTACTTTATTTCTTTGTTTTGTAGTATTCATCCAGATCTGATAATGAAACCTATAACTTTCAATACCTAAAGATATTATGCAACGCCCCGACTTATTTGGAGGGCACTTCGGCATCATCAAGTGACTACCACTATCAACACTATGAGGAAAGCGATCATTGGGTTCACAGGTGACAGCCATATACCTTTTCTGGTCAAGATTATTATTATTATTTTTGGACTGGATGGTTGTACTGGTCGGATCTTTTCCTTGAAGCCCCGATATATTCAGAGGGTGTATCAGCATCATCAACCAATAATTATCACTAACACTGTGAAATAAGTGATAATTGGATCCGCACATGCGATGGCCAAAATGTGAGAGCATTCTGCATTTTCCTAGCCAAGATTATTACTATTATTATTTTGTTCATTACTATTTACCGCAAAAGTTGTGCTGGTTGGGCTCCAAAGTCCCGATACATTCGAAGGGCGTGTCAGCATCATTAACCCACGCCATACCGTGACGTAAGTGATCATTGGGTCCGAAACACTTGTGCATTTAGCGGACCCAATGTGCCAAGGAAACTATTTTAACAGAATGGTCTAAATATCTATTTTCCTCCTCTAAAATGATATTTGTCTCACCTGGAGCTGAAAACTCCATGACGAATATCTTCTTAGTTCGATGGTCGAAAGAACTACATTGGATTCATTTGTTGGTGGAGAATGAATTATTCCAATGAATTCGACACTTCTGAATTGTCTAACTTTGATTCACTTCGCTAATGCAATAGGAGTGTCGAAGAAACTAATAGAACAATTCTCACAATCGCATTATGCCGATTAATATAGGCTGAAACCGCATTCCGACAGCAAGTGCATCAGGATCTCAAAAGGCTCGCGGTAGGCGCTACTTCTTGAGTCAGAAACTCTTATACCCATAACATGACTACAATAGACTAAGGTGTTACTGACACTAATCTGGTAGGTCGTAATGAGCCCCTCAGGCATCTAACTGAAGAAGATTTCATGCATCGGAACGTCGTTGTGAAGCCGCAAAAGTGAACTTGTCTCTGGGACTTTGATATAAACATTTAACTGACGGGTTCAAACTCGGTGAGAATCGTTAGCGCGGTTCATGTAGAGAAAGATATTTGAACTCCTGATAATTCCACTGGCTCCAATTTAGCACCATTCTGTTATGTGTACACTTCAAACTCGAAAGTTTCGACCTTCATGTTGCCGGGTGAAGTATACCCGTGAGACGGATGACTTGGATTGCAAACTATGGAGATTCATCATTTCTTCTATAATTGAGTAAGTACCACTGCTAACTTCGTTATTATTGATGCTACGAATTCGATTGAATGGGCATTTTTAATGGCCTTCTCGGTGCCGAAAACAAATGAAAGTAACAGTCGCGTTTTCAAAATATTTCATAAAATGATATGCTTTTCGATTGCGGTATTCCACTTGACACCACTGAGCTATTTGGTTCAAATTTTAAAAACGAAAATTTCCATTTTGAAGCCAATTCACTAGCCATATTTAATTTGTGGATCAAAATATTTCTGCTATAATAATAACATTGAAGCCGTTTTTATACTGTGTCTTTTGTAGGTATTCAATACTTTCTTGGTCTGTTTGATAGCTTGGTTGCACTCGGAATTCCACCAGTGGTTTCACTTAATAGATCTTGCCAAAAGCCTGAAACACGTGTATATGGTTTGCCACTTTCTTGAGTGCTTGAGAAATGCGAGGTGGTTGCCTTCTTCTCGATGTGCTGATTATGAAAAAGCCGGACGGTACACTAGGCCACACGGTATATCAAAAGCCAACACACACGAATAGGTACCTAAACGCAAATTCACACCACCACCCAAAACAAATTCATGCGGTGGCAAAAACACTCATTACACGTTCCAGGAGGCTGGCAGACAACGATCAAAGACAACAAGAGTTGAACACCATCGAAACAACTCTACAAATGAATAACTACTCAGAAAGAAGTATAAAAGCGGCTGCCAAGACACACGGAAACAACAAAAAACTCGAGATACATCGGTCACAACAACCACACTACCATATATTGCAGGAACAACAGATAAAATAAGCAGAATTCTTCGCCGACACAACATATCAACTTCATTCGTACCAGAACGGACAATAAGGTCCATGCTTCGTAATCCCAAGGATCAGATACCACTGGAGTCACAAGGAGTGTGCCATGACTGTGGCAGGACTTACATCGGGCAGACCAACAGAAGAATCAACATACGCAAAGATGAACACAAACTAGCAGTGGAGGGAAAAGTCACCACGTCTTCTCTCTTCCAATACGTACTGCAGACAGGACATAACATCAATTTCGATAACACAGCAATACTAGCAAGCAACGAAAACTTTTACTCGCGAACAATCAGAGAGGCTATCGAAATTGAAAAGCGACCTAATAATATAAAAAAGAGGGATGATGCGCAAAGATTACCATCAACATAGAGATCCGTTTTATCGCTTCGCACAAGCAATTAGACCGCTCAACCCCAGAAGCAAAACTCGGCACATGACAATACAGGTGCAATAACATAGGCAGGAGAGGCAGCTCAGGTCATAAGACCAAAACAGGTAGTCGAGCAACACAGGTAGTGGCAGCAATGCAGGTAAAGGGAAACATCCATCTTCAGCAGAATCAAAAAAGAGTTACAAAAAATGTGATGCAATAATATAAATTTTGTTACAAAAAAGGCTCAACTTACTGTTGATGAGGATGCCGTATCAAAAAGAATGTTACATTTAAATAAATGAAATTAAAAGAAAGATATTACTGGCCTTCTAAATCAGTTACATAAAATTTACCCCCTTCTAACTGATCGAAAAATCAAAACAAGATGTACAACAGTTCAGAATGAAATGAAGAAACAAGTACAATTTGAGCTAATCAATGACATAGAGGACAGCGACACATCCCAAGAAACCTTTTGAACATCAAAAACCGTAAATTCAAACCAAATAATACAATGGAATTTTAATGGGTATTAACACCCAAATAGAAATGTTGAAAATTATTCATTCAAAATATACACCATCAATTTTCTGTTTACAAGAAACTCATTTTCGGAATGATACAGTACACAAATTATCCAACCATACTTGCTACTATAAAAATAGACCTAATAGTCAACACGCCAGTGGCAGAGTAGCCATTTACATAAGGAATTCATTGGAAGCACAAGCTATCCCACTGATAACTGACATAGAAGCAGTTGCAGTGTCAATCGAAGGACCGAAAAAACTACATATATGTAATATTTATATACCACCAAACCAGGATCCAGAACTTTTCAATCAAATCCCCACACCCCGCTTGATACTTGGATATCTGGGGATCAAAAAGAACCACAACAAAGGGAAATAAAATTAAAACCGTTATGAATAATCTGAACCTCAATTTGCTGAATGATGGGTATTGTCCAGATCACTCAAATGGTATGTTTTTAATGAGTTATATGGTAGCGACCACTATCCTATCCTAATAAATAATCAAACAGCACATCCATTATCGTCACCTTCTTCAAAATGGTCCGTCAACAACGCAGACTGGGCCCAATTTAGTACAATCCTTGAACCACAAATATCAGGCATGGGAGAAAATGAATTGTTTTCTCTTGGCATAGATGAAAATGTCAAAAAATTCTGGAAAAATCGAACTATCCGAAATCATCCCTCACTACCTTGGTGCTACCAAGCTATCAAATAGACCAAGAAAGTATTGAATACCTATAAAAGACACAGAACACCACAAAACATTCAAAAGACTGAAGAGCAAGATCTAGGTATATCATGAAAAAAACAAACTCCAGCTATAAAAAAAATTTGTGTCTTGAATCAATAATACAACCCCTATAGGAGATGCCTGGAATATGATCAAGAAAGTTTCAGGAAAATATATTCACAATCCCATAAGTTACTTAAATAACCTAAACAACACAATTTCAACCTCACCACAAGATATTGCAGAGGCACTAGCATCAACCTATAACCAGCTCTCGAGTGACAATAATTATACCTCTGCCTTCATTACAAAAAAAGGGAATGACGAAAAAACAGATATAACACATCAAAATATGGAACATGATTTACTGAACTGCTCAATAACACTCAATGAACTCCTTGATTGCCTCAATTGTACTAAGAACTCATCTCCTGGACCTGATGACATTCCTATGATATTCATACGTATGTTACCAGAAAACGCTACCTACTGATATTCTTTTGAGGATATACAATCGCATCTGAAATGAACACGTATTCCCTCAGAGATGGGCAGAGACAGTAATAATAACCATATATGAAATAGGGAACCCCAAATCATCAATGTAAGGATATAGACCGATTTCTATTGGTTGTGCGATGAACAGATTATTAGAGAAAATAATCAATCAAAGACTTTTGTGGATGCTAGAAGAAAAAAAGCTCATTATATCTGAACAGAGCGGATTCCGGAAAAAACACTCCAGACTGGATAATTTGGTTGATCTTGAATCCGAAATTCAGGAATCATTAGCAAACGATCAAGACTGCATTGCACTCTTCACATATCACAAAAGCATATAATACTCTATGGCGGTACTTAATCCTAGACACCCTACAGAAGTGGTCATGTGGAGGAAACATCATGAATTTCTTCGCAAACTTCATGAAAATCCGCGAATTCCGTGTCAGAGCCAATGGGGCGTTGTGTTCCTCCCAAAATTCAGGAGAATGGGATTCCAAAGGGTTGTTACACTTGGCTGTACCCCAACTAACACGATTTAATTCCAGCAAGTGTTGCATGAAATGAAAGTCGGAAGAGCAACCATGCAAAAATTAAAAACTAACCGATGTAGTAAAATGAACTCCAGAATGATATACTGTTCGTGTTCCAATTGTTACCATGAATCGAAATATGTGAAAACGAGCAGAACGTTTTTGAGTAGACATTTACAGAAGACGACGTCAACAAACGACTCTGGAATCTGAATTCTGAGGATGCAAAGCAATAAATCACTCGAAATAGAAATAAAACTTGGGGCAAGTATGAACAATTGTTTGAAAGTTAGAGGAAATGATACTCTTTGAGTGTATGAGAATCCGAGACTTCCATTTACTTACATTTTGTTCACTATAAGTGTAAAGTAGGACAGGAAATGGTTGCAGAGAATTCAGTGCAGTACGAGTTCACTTGAAGTTAAATATACCCACCGTTGATTTTTTCCTTCGTGTAGAAAACCGTGAGATAGAAAGTCAAAATATGTTTGACAAATTGAAAGGAATGTAATTTTCCAAAATTTGTTGCAGTATCTATAAATTTTCATTTCAAAGTAAAAATATCATTCAGGTATTATTTTACTAAACATCATTTAACCGTGTTAGGAATCATACGTTAAAAGGTAAGACCTCGTTAGTCCTTAGCTCGCATCAGTTTCTAAACTTCTGAGAGTTGTCGTTCGTATGGAGGCAATAGCTGATTGATGGAAAAACAGATTTCAAACAGATTATAAACAGAACATATATAAATTGATGATAGTTCCCAACACATATATTTATTTTGCCTAGAGTTTCCAATCAAATCATTGTGTCAAGGAACAAATTAAATTGATCCGTTGCTATTTGCTATTAAAATAACCATATCGCCTATTATTATTCTAATTAATAATTGCATTCGCTTTGAATATCATTATCTTATTCGCTATTTTCCAGAAAGGATTGGCGTTGGACAACATAATAATTAAGTACTTTCTCAGTTTGGTGCCGGAAAGAACTCCAGTAATATTCACTCTCGCAGTCCTCAGATACTATTTTTCCCCTTTTCTCTCCAAATATACTATCCCATGTTCATTTACAACATAAGTATTTAACTCATTCTTCTTGCTTTTAAAGTTGTATAAAGTATAAAAACTTTCAACTAATAACAACTCTTACGCTCTTTGACTGTTATTAGAGACACTTTTCAGGAAAATGTTGTGGTTTTAGAAAATTTGAGTTATCCGACAAAACAGTATACCTATGTTGTTTGATCGATCAGAAGTGTTACTGCAACGGGCTTGGAATTTAAAAACTCTTCGTTAGCGGATAATGAATATTTTGAACCATTGACATTTTCTACCGACAAAAGAAAATAAAAGAAAAACTACTCAAGACGCAAAAGAATAATCTAAGTTCACGTCAACAAAATCCGTCAATTTGCATGAATGAGCTATGTAAACATTACAGGATAATTTTCAAATCTGAGATTGGTGCTATGCGATTTATGTTGGATTCAAATTTGAGGAAATGATACCGAATAGTACATCAGGAGGTGGTATGACTGAAATTGCTGACTTGGTTAACATTTCGCTAACCAAGTTAGCGCGTCGAGACAGCATGTTGGTTCTAGTGAGGAAAAAGAGTTTTCAATAGGAACTTGATCAATTGTTTTACTATAAATATATTGGTTATAGAAAAAAAATTTCAAACTTAACCCATAAACAATATATTATGTTGAGTTATTAGATGAATTTTTTCAACTTTCCAATACGAACTGGGGCCATACTGATACGGCCAGTTTGACAAGTTGTTTTTATACCTAGAAGTAGATTTTGTGTCAGAAAAACAGTATAATGTTACAAAAAATTGTCTGAAAAGTTTACGACTTCAACATGAAAATGGCAGCACTTATGAATAAAAGTTGGTAAAATTCGTTTTTCATCTGTTGGCAGTTACTCACTAAAGTTTCAGCAAGTTATTATGTAACAGTCGTTTGAGTGAGTTGATGAAAGTGTTTTAAATAGCTCAATGGCTCGAGTATCGAGCTGTCATTAAATATCGTTTTCGAAAGGCAATACGCCCACGAAAATCAAAGATGAGTTGGATTCTGTGTATGAGGACTCTGACCCATCATTTACTATATTGAAATTTTGGAGAGCTGAATTCAAACGTATCCGTAAGAGTTCAAAAGATGATGGATGTTTGAGACTTCCAAAAACTGCAACTACCGACGAACATCGACAAAGTTCCCAAATGGTACTAGACGAACATCTGAATAATGTGAGAGAGACAGCAGAGGTTATGAACATGTTGAAATGACGTATTTGTGATATAATGAATTAACATTTAGGCATGAGAAAGCTGCGTTTGATTACGTTAGACCAAAAACATGTTCGAACGTGTTCAACTCTCTGTTGGCGTAGTTTAGGCGCAATAAATCTGAGTTTTGACACCGATTATTTACTGTAGAAAACTTGGATACACAATTATAAGCTCCAAACAAAAATATAGCTCAAACAATGGACTGCAAAGGGGGAACCTGCTCCAAAAAAAGAAAAAACTGTTTTCTCGGCTAGGAACGTGGTGGCGTCTGTTTTTTAGGATGTTCATGGAGTTATTTCAATCAATTATCATCAAAAAGAAAAAACCATTACAAGAGCATACTATGCATCATTACTTGACAAGCTGAAAGCAGAACTTGCAGAAAAATGGCC